TTCTTTTCTTTTCTTTTCTTTTCTTTTCTTTTCTTTTCTTTTCTTTTCTTTTCTTTTCTTTTCTTTTCTTTTCTTTTCTTTTCTTTTCTTTTCTTTTCTTTTCTTTTCTTTTCTTTTCTTTTCTTTTCTTTTCTTTTCTTTTCTTTTCTTTTCTTTTCTTTTCTTTTCTTTTCTTTTCTTTTCTTTTCTTTTCTTTTCTTTTCTTTTCTTTTCTTTTCTTTTCTTTTCTTTTCTTTTCTTTTCTTTTTTCTTTTCTTTTCTTTTCTTTTTCCTTCCCTTCCCTTCCCTTCCCTTCCCTTCCCTTCCCTTCCCTTCTCCTTCCTACTTTCCTTCCTTCATTCCTTTTTCTTCCTTCCTCTCTCTTCATTCCTCTTCCTTCTTTTCTTTTCTTTTCTTTTCTTTTCTTTTCTTTTCTTTTCTTTTCTTTTCTTTTCTTTCCTTCCTTCCTTCCTTCCTTCCTTCCTTCCTTCCTTCCTTCCTTCCTTATGTTTATTTGTTTTTGAGAGAGAGTGAGCAGGGAAGTGCGGAGAGGGGGGGGCAGAGGATCTGAAGCAGGTTCTGTTCTGACAGCAGAACACCTCATTTGGGGCTCATACTCACAAACTGGGATTATGAACTGAGCTGAACCACCTAGGTGCTGCACCTGCCCCATCACCCTTTCTCCTCATTTTAAATGTTTTTATTTAGCAATACTTAGCCAGACAGGTAGAGTAATGCATTTATTCCTTCATTACTTTCATTATGAATTAAGGGATTAGTGTTCATGTTTTATTATTTGTGCAAAGTCCTATGAGTAGAATTATTATATCAAAGAATAAGAACATTTTAATTTTAAACTCTTGATAACCTGTTGCTAAATTAGTTCCCAGAAAAGCTGTGCCATTTTAAAAATTCTTTTATTTTTTTTAATGTTTATATATTTTTGATAGGGAGGCACAGAATCCGAAGCAGGTTCCAGGCTCTGAGCTGTCTGCACAGGGCTCCATGTGGGGCTCAAACTCACAAACTGTGAGATCATGACCTGAGCTGAAGTTGGCTGCTTAACCAGCTGAACCACCCAGGCACCCCAAAGCTGTGCCATTTTAAATTACACAGAGTGAGAAACTGCCTCTCATTGCCTTTTTTCCTGCCTTTATTAGGTAGTATTAAAAAGAGATCTTGGTGATTTTGACAGGTGAAAGCTTGTATCTTTAGATTTTTCTATTTTTAAAATTAATACCAGGAGCAAACATTTTAAATGTTTATTACCTGGTTGACTTTTTTTTTTTTTTTTTATGATTTTTACTATTATCTTTAACCCTTTTTTTAAACTGGTGCATTTATTTGTTTAGAATGTTTCCAAAAATTTTTTAAATTTCTCTCTCTGTCATGGTTTTTAGTTTATACCAGTGGACAAAATGGCTCATTCTCATGTTTCTTTCTCAGCAGTTATTGCAAATTTATTTTTTTGCATGTTTTTTGAGAAAGATTCAGACTGGTAATATGCCTATTAGGAGACCCTACCTCATGGGACTCCTCAGGAGTTCGGCTCCAGTGAGGATTGGGAGGTAAGCGGGCCTGTGGGTTGTAGTTAACAGGGGAAGGTACTTAAGAGACATGGTTGCATTCCTGGAAAGAAGACCGGAGAGAAGGTGAATCGTGTGTCTTCTGTGCTTATTCGCGTCAGTGGTGCACCAAGGGGTGAACTCTGGAGGCGCTTCCTGAGCTCTTTCCTCATTTCCCTGCTTTGCTCAAAAATAGAAATAGGAGTTTTCTTTCTTTTCTGTATTTTTCATAGTTTCTCTTTCCTTAACCTTGGTAAGGGTAAAGGGGATACCTCTTTTAGATAAAATAATGCCAGAGGTATTTTGTGTTGTCGAGTGGCTAAGAAAAACCTGCCTTTTGCCTGTAGTTTAAATTGGAATGTAAGAGATAACATATAACCTCTTACGAAGGGCTTACGAAATAAGTTTTTACCCCTGAGCTAAATACTGTCCACTCATATGTTTTTCAAGAGTTCTGCTTCTCTCTATTTTAATGAATTTTATAAACTGATACTTGTTTGTTTATTTATTCCTAAGTTTTTCTTGATGTTTGTTTATTTTTGAGAGAGAACACAGGAGAGGGGCAGAGAGAGGGAGACACAGATCTGAAGCAGGCTCCAGGCTCTGAGCTATCAGCGCATGAACTCATGAACTGCGAGATCATGACCTGAGCTGAAGTCGAATGCTTAACTGAAGGAGCCACCAGTGCATCCTTATACTTGTTTTAAAACAAGGCTTAAACGTTTCCTTATCATACCTTTCCTAAAGAGAAAAAGAATTTTCTTAATGTATATAATTTTGTTATGTCAGATTGATAAAGCCCTAATCTAAGAAATGCTCTTAGATTTGGAGGTAGAAAGTTAGAAAATCCACATTAGCATGTAGTCTGCCAAATGAAAGTGGCAAAAATTTAATCATTTCCAGTAATGACCTTCAATTGAAAATTTCTAGTGTCACATTGTCTAAGGCAGTGTAATGACATCCAGAAGTTTTCTTAATTTTTATTAATTTGGTTTTATAATATTGAAAATGAATTATAAAAATAGAAATTGTGGGAATGTCCTTTTGTTCAGAATCCTGCTATGGAGAAACCTGTTTCCATTCAGGAATTGAGAATTTAAAATCCTCAAGAGTCAAAAGAGATGTCAGATCTATATTTCAGAGCCCATATTCTTGACATCTGTAAGCCAGTCTGTGTATTCTTGTTTTTATACACAGTTGATTAGATGGTTTTTAGGCCATCAACATATTGTTAAGTAGGAAATAATTGGCTACAAGAGAGAAAATAGAAGAACCAAGCAGAAAAAAATAGACATAAGAGGTAAAAAAATGTCCTTCTAAAGCTTCTTGGAATATTGAAACCAATAACCCTTTAGTACCGAGGGAATTGCTGTTACAGTATGACACATGCATTGATGCTTAAAAAAAGAACCCAGGGCACTTGGGTGGCTCAGTCGGTTAAGTGTCCTACTCTTGATTTTAGCTCAGGTCATGATTTCACAGTTTGTGAGATTAAGCCCTGCATTCAGCTCTGTGCCGTGACAGCACAGAGCCTGCTTGGGATTCCCTCTCCCTCTTTCTCTGTCTTTCTCAAAATAAATAGATAAACTTAAAAGAAAATCCCTAAAACAACCATGATGTGTATATTTTATTTAAGAAGATACAGTGTTATATAGTTTTGCAGTTTGGAATTATTTCTTTTAAGAATGGTTAAAATAAAAATATTTTAGCATTTAAAGTGAAAAACTGTGGCATCTAAAAAACCTGAGTGTACACAAAACTAAATGATATCTCTGTAGCTAAGGTTTTAAGTCTAACGGAAAAACCTCATAATCCAAAAACTGGCAAAAAATCTCTGTTCTCCTCTCTTAAATAGCTATTCTGATTTGCTTTCACAGAGAGCCTTTCTTTTTTTAAGACAACTTCTTTTTAAGGTGAAATCCTTTGGGATTTTCTATTTAGGAAATTTGTGTTCAGTCTGTACAAAAAGAATATATATAAAGCACTTCAGTGAAACCACAACTTCATTTTTTTTAAAAAGGAACATTGCCAATATCATTAAGCCATCTCCTTGCCTTTTCTGAGTTAAATCACTACTCTGAATTTATGTTCCTCTTCTCTGCTTGTTTTACCACATATATGCATTTTTAAAAAGTAATGCTAATTGACTTTTGAAATCATGTGATGGTGTATATATTCTTCTGTGACCAGCTCTTTTTGTTCACTCTGCCTGGTAAGTGTTGTATGGTGTTACATGTGGCTGTTGTTATTTTGTGAAATACCTTCAATGTATTTTTGAGCCTTTCATTCCTTAAAATTTCCTCGTTTTGCTTTTCAGATTACAGAAGTAATTTATGCTAGTAATTGAAAATTTAATAGAAATGTAATGGAAAAGGAAAGCCCCTCATAGTGTCCTCTAGTACTCAGCTGGAGTTGTATCAATGGTTAATTTTTTCTCTGCATATGTTATGTTGTCGTCTTTTCTTCCTG